AAAGAATTTATTTCATCCAGAACCATCTGAAATTCCCAAACATTCCACCTTCTACACCAGTTTCCCTAAAAATGGAAGATGGGAGGCAATGGGATTGAAAGAAGATTTTTTTAAGGGGCGACAAACCAAGGCTTCCTTAAAACATCCTGGAAATGCCTCCTCCTGCAGTGAGGAATTTATCACTGGCCTTGGAGAAAGGAATCAAACCAGCACAATTCTATGCTTCCCAGCCCCAACTACCACAGACAACCAAAAAAGGATACCTTGGTTAATAGTATTGAAAGCCACTGAGAAGTCAAGGAGAACAAGGATGGATGCACACCATCATCCTGCCCTTGCCATAGATCATCCACAAGTGCAACCAATGCTACTTCTGTCCCATAACTGGGCCTGAAACCTAACTGGAAGGAATCCATTTCATCTAGATTCCTCTAAAGTTCCCAAACATTCCATCTTCTATACCACGGGCCCTAAAAAGGGAAGATGGGAGACAGTGAGATTGAAAGAAGATTTTTTTAAGGGGCGACAAACCAAGGCTTCCTTAAAACATCCTGGAAATGCCTCCTCCTGCAGTGAGGAATTTACCACTGGCCTTGGAGAAAGGAATCAAAGCAGCACAATTCTATGCTTCCCAGCCCCAACTACCACAGCCAACCCAAAGGATACCTTGGTTAATAGTATTGAAAGCCAATGAGAAGTCAAGGAGAACAAGGATGGATGCACACCATCATCCTGCGCTTGCCATAGATCATTCACAAGTGCAACCAATGCTACTTCTGTCCCATAACTGGGCCTGAAACCTAACTGGAAGGAATCCATTTCATCTAGATTCATCTGAAGTTCCCAAAATTCTTCCATACCATGGACCCTAAAAAGGGAAGATGGGAGACAGTGAGATTGAGGAGTTACAAATCCAGGAGAAACCACAGATTGAGCACCAGTGTGGTTAGTCCAACCCCATCCAGAATTAAAGATGCTAAAGTCCTGGAGCGGGACTTTAACCAAAGCCACTTGGTCTTACCAGGGTTCAGCTGAATTTTGTTAATCCCTATCCAGACCCCCACAACCTCCAGACACTATAAGAGGTCAGCAGCATCACTTGAATCATCAGGAGTGTTGATGTAAAGCTGACTATTATCAGCATACCGATGGAAGCACATGCCATAGTTGTGGCGAATGATCTCACACAGGAGCTTCATGTGGATCTTTAAAAGGAGCAGAGGACAATACTGAGTGCTGTGGCACACCACAAACCTCTCATTCCTATTAGCACTGATTAGGATTGGCCCTGGAGAAAGGAGTTAAACCTGCATGAGATTTGCTAACGCCCAGGCCCAAATTCCACAGATAGCCCAATTTTAAGCAAGCAAATCGTGACCAGATGAAAACTTGTTAGAAATTAAGGAATTCTTATGTCATATCCAATTCTATATTCGGAAGAAGCAGCAATTATTGTTTTCCAACTTGACGTGGACAGTCATGAGACTTGTGGTGCTATTCTTATCAAGCATATTTTCTCCATGTGGCAACAACTCCTGGCTGTTCAAGATGTAGTCTTAAGAACGCTGTAGTGAACCATTTTTCTGACATAGGTATGGTGGGCTAATCCTATCAAGGTGAGCCAGTTTCTCAGATAGCCTGGACCATACCATGAAGGTCTTCAAGGGTGAATAACCACACCTTGAATCTGACCCAGAAGAAAAACAAAGTGCTATCCTTTTCACTGATATTGTGTACTAGGTCTTCGTTTTGCCAAGGTTCAGCTGGAGTTTGTTGCACCCTATCCAGACCCCACAACCTCCAGGCACATTCCCTATTAACACTCATTAGGACTGGCCTTGGAGAAAGAGGTTGAACCCATGCAAGGCCATGCCACCTAGCCCAAATTCAACAAATAGCCCAAAAAGATACCATCACTGATAGTACCAAAAGCCACTGAGAAGTCAAGGAGACCAACGATGAACTATCCCTATCCTGCCCTTACCATAGAGTACGGGTGTCAAACTTACGATGTCATGTGACGTATAGTGACTTTTTCCCCATTGCCGGCAATGGGATGGGTGTGGTTTTGACACGATGCATCCGGCCTGCCATAGATCATCCACAAGTGCAAGCAATGCTGTTTCTGTCCCATAAATGGGCCTGAAACTTGACTGGAAGGAATCTGTTTCAGAATCCTCTAACATGTTCCCAAACACTCCAACTTCTATACCAGTTTCCCTAAAAAGGGAAGGTGGGAAACGGGACCGAAGCTGTCCAGACAGGTGGCATGGAGAGAAGTTTTTCTTTA